TATATTATTTATACTTTTATTATATATAATCATATATCATTTTATATATTTTTTATATTGTATTATTATATTTTATTATATATATATACATCCGTATACACACACACAGAGTTAATCTACTTCCCTTGCCAATGTAAAAACACCCTTTGGTGTACTCACTGAACACTTCCTCTAATGTTTTCTATTGAAAATTGTAACACGATGACCATATATTCAAATATTAACAGGAAGGGACAAGGAGAGGTCATAATATGATAAAATCACAGATATATGGGTTAATATTTGTTTATCTCATCCATCAAATGATGCCTGAATTCATTCTCTAAAAGTCTTGGCACCACATCTAGTACTTGCTAGAATACCTCTGTTTTTCCTTCCTTCCCTCCCTCCTTCCTTCAACACATATTTACTGAACACCTACTTTGGGCCAGGGCAGAAATAGTGCTGAGAATTGAGTGGGGAGCAAAAAGAGACATGGTACATCTCTTTGGGGGGCTTACAGTCTACAGAGGGAGGTAGCTGTAATCAGATAATCATATAAATAAGTTTAAAATTGTAACTTTAAAATTGTAAGCTAAAGTGGTGGGAAGGAGAGGTACTTGGTGATATAAGAACTCAAAACAGGGAGACTAAGCTTTGTCAGGGAGGTCAGGGAAGGCTTCCTTAAGAAAGTGTGGCTTGAGCTGGAATATGTTGGGTGGGAGGGCTGTTAACTAGGTGAAAAAGAAGAGGCAAGAGCATTTTAGGCAGAGGGGCAGCACATACAAAGGCCCTGTGGCAGGAGATAGTATGATGAGTAAGGGGGACTGAGAGAGGCCATTGTGGTTGGAAGAGAGAAAAAGAGGGGAGTTAGGTGAGAAAAGGCTGACAGGGCACATGGGACCAGCCAAGGTAAGGGTGGAACCTTAATCCCTGAAGCCCAGAAGAGTAGTAAGCCCAGAGACGGGACCAGTCCTGTGTTTGAAGATCCCTCTCCCTGCCATGCAATTTTCCCCATACCAAACTTGAATAAATAAAAACCACAAGTCAACAGTCCCCATAGTTCCATCCTCATACCACCCCAGGGATCACAGATTAAATCCTCCTTGCTCATGAAGCCTCCCCTGCTTCCCTGCCACCCAGCTCTTTCACCAGAGGGCATTGTTTCTGTCCTCCCTCTACCCCAGGTAGATTTCTGGATGCCCTTCAGTTTGTCCTTTCTCTCTCAATGTGTGGGTCTGAGAAAGGAATGCAGAACTGATCGAGGGCCCAGGAAGGCAAATGGAAAATGATTATTGAGCAAGCTGAAAGCCGCCCAAAACATAAACTCTCACTTTGAAACCATCATCTGACTGAAATGGAGAATCATAAAACTGAGAATAATGAATATGAAACAACTAAAGTACATTTGCAATGTTGGACGGCCAGAGGATATCAGGAGAGCGAGGGCAGAGGCCATTTCACCCTGTCGACAGAGGTCTGGTCACCCAGCACTTACAGAGGTAGAACTGAACATTTTAAAAACTGAGTCCTGTGAAGTCATTACTGAATCTAAGCATTATGATTTTGCGGGGGGGGGGGGGCGGTGAGAAGCAAAGCAAAAAAGACTAAAGTTTTCTGGACCATTTATATCAGAGCCACACAGGTGCATATGAAGAATCTTACAGATGAAATATTGAATAAATAAAAGCATGTTATACAATAATAATATATAGTATGTTATGATCTATAAAAAGTTTTAAGACATGCAAAATGAAACTATCATCTATGGGTTTCTCCGCGTGTTATCAAAGCGTAAAGGTATGGAAGGGCATCAGAGCCGCAGCTGTAAGCCGGTGGCTGCCTCCGGAGAAGGAGGGGCCACATTACGAGGATTGGCAAGGAGTGAGCAGGACTGGAGGCGGTATTGGCCCCATTTTATTTCTTAAGCTGACTGGGGGCACGTGATGTTTATTACATTATTACTATGGCCTTTTTATATTGATGAAATATGTCCATCCCAATACCTTTTTAAGAAGGAAAAATGGACAACCCAAGTTGCTGGTGAACTACTGATAAGAAAAGGAACGGAAACAAGGACTCTCTTAACGTCTTTCTAGGGACTGATGTTCTATTTAAGCTCAAGTTTTAGACAAGTTCAATCCCTGGATGGCATAAAATAGCCTCACGATAAGACATGGGCAGGACAGAGTGGGGGGTGGGGTGGGAGGGATGGGGTGACTGGGTGATAGACACTAGAACGTATCTGTAACTTGTATAACAACCAAAGG